CCCCGTCTTTCCCTTCGCCACTTTCCGCCGGGGGCAAAAGAAGGAAGCCTCTCGATCCATCGAAGGCATGCACCTTTTTGTATCTGGAGCGCCCCCCGCCCCCACACACATGTGTATATCCAGATCTCGCCTAGCCCGGCCACGTCGTGTCACTAACACTCCTGGCGTCCTGAATTTTGGTAACGCCGACCCCCAGAGATATCGACCAACTTCCCAGGTATTGCTGTCTTCCTGAGCCGTCAATTGACGGCCCTGGGGCCCAGTGGGGTCCCCCAGGGACGGAACAGGCTCAAAGCCCCCCCGCCTCGACTTTGTCTGCGGCGCGAGGGCATCTGTATCTATTCCTTGCACATATCCCAAATTGGGTCCTTTCCAGCGCCCGGTCCCTGGCAGTCCCGACCCGCTCCCTGGGTCTTGTTCTCCATCCCGAAGCATGTTTTGACAGTCCCTACACCCACGAAGACCCTCTTTCGGGGGCGCCCAAACATGGACTAGCGATCCATGGATTTGGCGCGCGGTCGCCAAACCTATGGATCGGGGCAGGTGCCCTCCCCAAAATGCCACCGGTGCCGCCTCGCTCGGCGGCGGGAAACTGCGATTTCCTATGGAAACGGGACCTGTCGCAAATCTGAAGTCGGGCCTGTCCCTCTACCGGTGGAATCTTCAACAATAGTGAAATGGTCTAGGGACGGCTTCCTGACCATGTTTGGCACTTCGTGGGGGATTTTTTTCTTTCTTCGTCCAGAATCCCCCTGTAGGGGGATGTGCCCGACTCAACGCTGATCCACGCCCCCTCGACCCGTGCTTGCCATCGCCCGACGCTTGGCCCGAGCGTGGCCTCCTCGCCCCTTCGGCCCCTTCGGCCGCCTCGCGCCCCCTTCGGCCCTCCTCCTCCTCCTCCTCCTCCTTCTCCTCCTCCTCCTCCTCCTCCCCATCCTCCTCCTCCTCCTCCTCCTCCTCCTCCCTCCTCCTCTCCTCCTCCTCCTCCCTCCTCCCGCCGTGCCCTACCTCGGACTGTGCTCCAGCGCGCCCCGCCGCTGCCGGCCGCGTCGACTACGAGCGGCCGATGGGCTGACTGGGCGGTTTTTTGTTTGTTGTTTGGTGGTGCATTGTTTGTGTGGTGTGTTGGTCGTGTTGCTTAGTCGAATTTCTGTTTGTTCTATGGTGGGGTTTTGTTTGATTGAAATTTGATTGCGATTTTGTCTTTATTCGGTGTGTCGGTTTTGATCGTTTTTTTTTATGTTTGATTGTTAGTATTTTGTCCTTGTGCTGGGGATTCGCTGGTGTCCTTTACAGATTGGAATTCTTGCAGCCGAAAAGGCAAAAAGCAGTGATTTCGGTTCGATCGTACCCCCTACAGGGGGATTTTGGGCGAAGAATACAATTTCACCCCCAAAATACCCCCAAATGTTAAACATATTGAAAAATCGCCCACACATTTGTTTTTTCCTATTTTCGAATACTCCTCCTGTAGAGGGACAGGCCCGACTTTGAGCAACTGTTGACAGTCCCTGGGGCCCAGCGAGCCCCCTCCGAGGCCGCGAACTGCGATACACCTCCGTCTTGATTTGCTCAACACGGCAGGTTCGCGTCGGGATGACGTCGGCGTTGGTCTCTGACAGCGCGCATCGCTCCACCTTGAACGATCAGCGGCTTTTCGATCGCCGGATTGTTCCATGATGGCCGAGCCTGGGCCACTGGCCGCGTTCAGCCTTGAACGCCCGCGGCGGGGTCGCCGTCGCGTCAATGCGGCGCGAACCTGCCGTACACTGAAGTGGAGCATCGTTGAACCTACCCCTATCCCCATGGGCGTGGCCTGGGCCCCACTGGCCACTGGCCGACTCACCCCCCTTGGGCAAAGAGGCTGTTTCCTTACTGGGGTGGTAGAATGGTGGGGGTCTGGATGGAGATGGGGATGGGGACCCAGACCCCCGACGTCACGATTCTGTTCATGACGTCGATCCCCTGAATGTCTCGACCCATTCCCCGACCGGCTCCGGCTTCTCATCCTGAGTCGTTTTTTGACAGCCCCGAGGCCCGGTGCGGGCCTCCAGAGGCCGAAACTGGCGAAAAGCGTCGCGTCGTGATTTTTTGTTCTATGACTCGAGGAGGTCTGGGGGTAGGGGTCGGTTCACCGATACTCAACGTTGGAGACTTGGCAGCCGGGTCGGGTGAAGCTGAATCAGCGAAACTCGGCAGGCTTGTAGGCCTCCACTGAGACGTCGGAACCCCAACTGGAATCGGAAGTCGCATCGAATCGAAATCGGAAGGCACCGAAACCGAAGGCGACCTGATCGGAGGAGTCGAAACGAGCCCTGCTGGGGTCGGTTAAACGATACTAACAGGGGATCCTTGGACCCCGATCCTTAAGTCTGGCCTGTCCCCCTACAGGCCAAAAATGATCCAAAAATACTAGACAAATCATCCCCACACGATTTTTTACTATTTTCGAATATCCTGTAGAGGGACATGCCCGACTTAACCCTATCCCAGGCTTTGGGCGGCGTTCGACTGGACCAAGAATTTCGGGCCCGACCCCCCTCGACAGGGGTGCGTCCGAATAGCCCCCCTTTTCTGATGTGTCCCAGGCTTTTCTGAGCGGCTTCGTTTTGCATCGAAAAGTCCATCGGGTGTTGGGGGCGACAAGTCGCCTGCGAGCTACCGAACGCTGGGGGCCTCTCGGTTTCGAGGGCCTGGCCTGCCCGCGCGCCCGCCGCGACGGCCGCGGCAGCGGCCGCTCGGGCCCCCAGGCGCCAGGCGGGCGGCCGGCGGCGCGGCCAGCGGCGCGGCCAGAGACAGCGAGCGTCCATGGGCGGTTGCCGGCGGCAGGCGGAGGGGCTTCCCTCGGCGGCGAGCGAGGGGGGTACAGCGGTACAGCATCGTCGTGGAGAAAGTCGGGCTCCACATCGAGCCGCATCCCCGATGCCATCGGCGATGCGGCGCGATCCTCCGACCCCATCTGCTCCGACACCATCCAAGATGCCTAGATTCTCATCACCGACTACACGCAAGAGTGACCCTGGGTAAGAGTGACCCTTGGTGCGCGGCTTTTTGGGGGCCGCGGGGGGGGAGGGCCAAACACGAGCGCGCAAGACGCTACTACCGCATCACGTTCGCTGGTCGGGGGACCCCATTGGGCCCACGTCGAAGGTCATTCCGGCGAAGGGTCACTCTTACCCTAATCGAAATCTTGAAGGAGAAGGTCTTGTCAGGAGGCGGCGGAGACTCAGAAGCCCCCTGGTCTTCTGAACAGTTTTCGGTGTCTTCTGGGAAGGATTAGGTCGGGACTGTCCCCCCACACGGGGAATGTGGACGAGAAATGAAAAATATACCCCAAAAGTGCACCAAAGATGCTCAACAATGGTCCACAACTCGTCCCCTGACTATTTTTCGACTGTTTCTGAATCGTCCTCCCGTAGAGGGACAGGCCCGACTTCAAGGAAGGATTAAACATTTCTCAGAGCGCCGGTGGGCTTCCAAGCCTTCTGAGAAGGCCCGCCCCTTCTCACTTCCCCCCCCCCCGGGCTCGCCGTCGATTCTCGGGCCGAGAAGAGGTCTCGGGCCGAGAGGGGGTACTCTTTACCATCCAGTAAGGGGGGCCAGCGGCAAGAAGGGGTAGCAAACAGGGCGCGGAGGAGCTGGAGGAGGAGAAGGAGGAGAAGGAGGAAGAGGAAGAAGAGGAAGAGGAAGAAGAGGAGGAGGAGGAGGAGGAGGCCAGGCAGGTAGCGCGCCCAGCGAGCACGCGGGACAGCGACGCTTCTGGGCAGCCGAGGGGTTCACTGGTGGGCCCTCCATGTGAAGTTGCGCGTGCACGTGTCACCGCGCCGTCTTCCGGCGCCCAAGGAGACGAAGCCGGCACCGCGGCAAACCCACGGCAAACCCTGCGTCCGAGGCGGCGTTTGCCCTGGTGGCGAGGCGCTCCCCCCAAGACGTAAAGCCGCGCGCTGGATCAAACGGCGCGGCGAGAAAGAGTGCGGGCCTTCGGCCGACACCTGCAAACTGCACATGCCTTGTAGAACGTCTCTCGCTCGCGAAACTGTGCGAGAACCGGGCCCATGCAGAGTACCATGCTTGGACTCCCGTCAGGCGCCGCTCCAACGCGGCACTGTGCATACTCCAAATCCCTCATCAATCGACCCCCCCCCAAAAACCGGACCCCCCTCCAAGTGCGACCTGATATTCCGGACCCCCCTCTTCGACGGGGCGCTTTAATCGACCGGACCCCCTTAGCTCCAATCCCCGAAGACAGCGCCCTAATAACCCGGACCCGCCCCGTTACAAAAAAGGCGCCTCAAAAAAACCGGACCCGGGGGACGATCCACAGAGGATTTGGAACAGTTTACCGGCCCTGAGGGCCGAAAGCATCCCAGGTCGAGGATCGGCGACGCCTCGGGAGACGCCAGCGCGGGACGATGCCCACAAGTCGTCCGCGGAACCTGCCTCGAAGCATGTCCGCTGCACTGTGCGCGGCGGCGGCGGTTGTGAACATAGTTTTAAGTCGGGTTTGTCCCCCATGCAGGGAGATTTCTGGCGAAAATCAAAAAGTAGCCCACAAATATTCCCAATGCTCAAAAATACAAAAAAAGTCGTCCCCCGATTTGTTTTGACTATTTCCTGTAGAGGTACACGCCCGACTTCAACATAGTTGCATGGTCATGATCATGTCCCGGACTCAAGACCCAGACCCCCTCGCGTCGTGAAACGATCCGCGACGGGACGATCTTTCGGCCGATGGGGGGCCCGTATCGGACTTCGGTGCCTTTCAAAAACGACTCGGGGTGAAGAGCCAGTCCTCGGGAAGGAGGCCAGGCTGCTGCGAGTCGACGTTGCGGGGGCTATGGTTGGGCTCAAGAGGGAACGCGTTGAATGCCGGCGGCGTGATGTCACGAGAGGCGAACGTACCTACCCATATCCACGCCCTCGCGGTCTGGACTCCAGGGCGCGGTCCCGCGGATATGCGAGGTCGCATGGATATGCGCTCCGCGCGGGGCATCCGCGAAGAAGCGCCCCGTGTCCAGGGGGTTATCCAGCCCAGCGTTGGCCATGTGACGAACCTCTCCCGTTTGCAGGTGTCCAGCTGATCCTCTGAGGGGCCAGGAAAAGCCTCCTGTGGTGGACTGAGAGAGATCCCGACGTGAGGCCCGAGTGAGAATTAGGCCGAAAGAGTTACGTGCAGACCTCCAGTCCCCCTCGCGTGGCAGACAAACATCACAGCAAAGAGATATCCAGCCACCTTCGGTCCTCGCGGGGCCTCGCCGGGCACCAGGCCCCAAGACCTTCAACAGTCGACACGGAATGAATATCCAGTCCGGGGGTAAGGGTCGACGCCTCCACTTCTCAACGTCGTGGAGACAAGGACACAAGGCAGCTCGCCGATCATTAAGTAATCGGGCGTGCGGCGTGGCGGGAAGACATTGCTAGGAGTGTGTGCCATCAATGTGGCACGCCATGGGGGACGCATGTCATTGGCTGTTCAGTAGGGTGCGCCATCCATGGGTTGTACCATGGGTTCCGCCAACCAATTGTTGCGTGATCCAGTGGGTGCATCATCCCCAGACTACGACACGAGTTGCGCCATCCGTGGGTGGCGCCCGATTCCATCCGTGGGCTGCGCAATTGGTAACTCAATGAGTTGCGCTGTGGATTGTGTCGCTGGCTGCACCGTCCACGGAATGCGCCGATGCGCCACGGGGTGCGCATCACGGGGTGCGCCATGGGCTGCGCCATCTGTGGGTTGCGCCTCAGGCTACGGGATCCAAAGTCTGCGCAACCTCGTGGCTCCCCAATGTGTTGCACCATCATAGGTTGCGACAAGGGCTTGCGCGGCAACGGTTCCGCCACTCACGGGCGAAATAGGTTGCGAACTCCGCGGCCGAGAATAAGCCGGTCTGCTTTTGTTTGACACCATGATCTGCGCATTTGACGACCGAGGATAAAACGACCTGCTGCTGGTCCCGCCATAGATTGCGCACTCGGCGGCCAATAATGAAAAAGCCTGCTGATGCTTGCACCATTATGTGTCGAACTCGGCGGCCAAAAAAGAAACCGGACTGGTATAACAAAACGGTCGACTATTGGTTGTGCCATAGGTTGTGCGCTTGGCGGCCAAGAGAAAGAACAACCTGGTATTGGTTGCTCCACGGGTTGCGTATAGTGGACTGCCGATATCAAACCGGTCGAAGGTTGCGCACTCGGCACGGAGAATCCATCTTCCTGCTAATGGCTGCGCTTTAGATTGCGCGCTCGGCGGCCAACCATACAAAGGGCCTGCTACCTGTTGTGTCATAAGTTGCGCACTCGGCGGACAACCATGGAACGTGCCTACCATTCGCTGTGCCCTAGGCTGCGCACTCGGTGGCCGAGAACCAAGCGGAGTGCTACTCGTCTTCACCGTAGGTTGCGAGATCAGCGGCCGAGAAGAACTAAAAGGCCTGCCATCGGTTGCACTTCACGCAGGTCCCGAACTTGCCTATGATTGGTTACGCCCGCCATGGGTCTGCGCCCTCGGCGGCCGAGGATAGAGCGGCCCGCCACTGGTTACACCACCAGCTGCGCACTCGACGGCCGAGAACCTGACGGCCTGCTAACAGCTGCGACAAGTCAACGATGACAACAACAACAACGAGAATAGAGATGACAACGATCGTTGTCGACCGTTGTTATCGTTATCGTCATCGCTGTGATGGTTGTTCGTTGGGCTCATTGTTGTCGTTATCGTTGTTGTCTTTGCCACCGTCGTCCAGCGCGCCAGCAAATCCACCGCGCGACAACACAAGTCCGGCCTACGCCCCCCCCAACCCAAAGTTGACCGGGCTGGGTGCGAGGCAGCGCGCGGGGGACAAACTATTGCAGATTGCCATTGTCGTTGCCATCATGCCTGATGATTGTCTTCACGCCGTCGGCGTGGACACTTTTTGTCCGGGCACTGGTAGAGGAAAGAGAACTATGCACATGCACCGAATCTGGCCAGGCCCATCCTGAGCCCAGGATCGGTGCATACGCCCTCCTGCCTTGGCCAGGAAGGCATATGCACCGATCCTGGGTCAAGGATGGGCCCTGCCAGGATCGGTGCATGTGCACAATTCTCTTCGCCCGAACTGGCCCAGGGGGGTCTGGGAAGGACGAGCCACGGCGGCCGCGTGCGCCCAGTCCGCCCCCCCTCCCCGAGGCGCTCGGCCCCCGCAGCTGGCGCCCTGGCTCCTGCCTAGGCAGCACGGCGCCGAGGCCTGCCCCGCCCCCACGGGCTGGCGGCTCCTGGGCACAGCACCTTCGGTGGCAGCTCGTGGGAGCCTCCCACCATCAAGGGCTCCCAACTTCGCGCTTCGCGCTCCGCGAAGCCCGAAGCGCGAATAACTTCGCGCTCTCGCGCCGCCCCCCAAAGGGAGAACAGGAGGACGAGGAGGAGGGGGAGAAGGATAGAGGACCGCGAAGCGCGAAGCGCGAATAACTTCGCGCCCTCGTGGGAGCCTCCCACCATCTGGTCGGCTCTTGCGAATCGACGCTCCTCGACGCTACGCAAGCTCCCTTATTCATCGACCCCCCCCCCCCCCAAAAAAAAACCGGACCCCGTTCAAATGCGACCTGATATTCCGGACCACCCTCTTCGACGGGGCGCCTGAACAAACCGGAACCCCCAAGCTCCAATGATCCAAGGAAAACGCCCCAAGAAACTGGACACCCCCAGACACAAAACGGGCTCCCTGAAAAACCAGACCCGGGGGACGATCAAGAAGGGCTTTGGGGGAGCCGACGCGAATCGACGCTATAAAATGGCGCTATCTCAGCGACTCCCCGATTCTACTCGACGCCAAAGACGGGAGGAAGGGGGCAGACCATGGTGGGCCTGTTTTCCACCACCACCACCATAAGTTGGAGGGGGAGGGTGCCCTCCTCCTCCTCCTCCTCCTCCTCCTCCTCCTCCTCTTCGTCCTCCTCCTCTTCGTCCTCCTCCTCGTCCTCCTTCTTCCCCCCTCCAACTTATGGTGGTGGTGGTGGAAAACGCTCCCATCAGACCAGGCTCCCACGACTTGCTACCGAACCCACGGGCCGGCGGAGCACGTGCGCAGCACCCCGGTGGCAGGCCAGCTGTCGGGGGCACCGACGGCCTGCCGCCGGCAGCTCGCCGCCTGCCCGCCATGCCCCGGCAGCGCAGGGGACCGCTTCGTGGGCTCGGGCCCCCGAAGGAGGGAGTGTCCCTTTCCGACCTCCGAGGGCCCACGGGAGCCCCCAAACCCGAGGTCTGACTCGCCGCTCGTGAGCACCGCCACCTGTTCCAGACCGAAGCCCCAGCCCGAGCCGTGCATATCGCCGTGCACAACCCCACACTCGCGCAGCAGGTGCAAGCTAAACCGAGTCGTCGTTTCCACGGGCGGGTGCATCAGAGAGGGAAGGCTGACAGACAGACTCTTCCGTCGTATTGCTCAGCACGACAGCCTGAACATCATCATCGCTGAGAGTTGTGAGTATCGTTATGCTGTCAATCACCTTCGCGTACTTGTCACAAATCGTTTTTGCGATCCAAGCGTTCCACACATCCATTTTAACCATTGCCTCGTCGGTGAATGTCGAATCGGGCCCTTGAAACACAAAGCGGTACACTCGATTTTTGACGATCCACTCCAGCTGCATGACGCCGAGAAGCTGATTGAGAAACATCGCGGCACCGTAGAATCTGTCGAGTGTCAGCTCACTCTTCTCAAATATGAAATGCTGGGCTGCTTGACGAAACTTAACTAAGAAAGCATCGAAACCAATCACGAAACATATCAATCCAAAGCAGAGTATCCGCACGGCTTTGCAATAGTTTGGGCTCTCCACCCCAAACAGCGTGGCCGACAAGTTTGCTACCAAGACCTTCGGGGTGACGAAGAACAGCAACTGCATGGCACTGAAGACGGAGAGTACCCCAAGCTGTTCGGAGAAGATCATATGTATATGATGCCAGCGCTGGTAGCCCGAGTTCGACAAGGCCCTGCAAGCGGTGAGTAAAATGCACAGCCACAGATATGCAACCGTAGCGGCTTCCAGCGCGCTGAGGATCTTGAATGACGCGACCTGTGCATTCTCTCGCCCTAGCATATGAGAGACGGCGTGCTCCACCTCCCCGATAATCAAATACCCCTGCTTCTCAAAGAGAGGGTCCCCGGGTGCAGCCATGCTCACGCGAACGGCGACGTCAAGGACATAGTAGGTGTTGAGGAAGCATGAGATAAAGACAACAGCAGCGCTGAGGTACCTCGACCAGCCCCAAAGCCTGTCCGTTGTGTTGTCTTTCGTGCCAGTGATCATGCTGATGCCGCCGTCCTGAGCCATATGCAGGTGGTCAAAGAAAACTGGTAGTTCGCCCCTACGGTGGGACTCCGTCAAGTACTGCCACGCTACCTCGTGATTTCCCCAAACAGGTTTCGAGCTGCTCTCATCAGCACTCTCGTCATCACTACTCTCGCTATTTTCGCCGAGACCTAGGGTTCCAATATGTTGCATCCCCTCGATCGGGACCTCCATGCCGCCCAATATCTTGCCTTGCCTTGCGCGATGATGCTGCCGCAACTTGCTATGGCGAACGAAGCAACGCAAGCTTGAGTCAAATGCTTTGGCACATGGCGAAATATGCCACGAAGCTGTCGAGGAAAGGCTTGGCCATTAGAGTCACTGCCCTCGCGTGAGTCTTGTTTTCAGCGCTTTCTGCTGGGAGAGGAAGGGAAGGTAAGGACAAAGAACTCGCGAAGCACCGCATTCCGCAGCCTCACGCAACCTGCCAAACTCGACACCCCTGCCTCGGGCAACGAGACACATGCATACGATACGGAGTCGGTGCAAGAATGAAGTCGGTGCAAGAACCCTTCTCGTGGGCTTCCGGTTCGCGGGGAAGCGTCTGCTGCAACTGGGAAGACCAAGAGGTAGCGATACCGCTACTCCCCAGACCCCTCCCGGAGTGTGTTCTGACCAAAGTTTCGAGGCGAATCCAGAGGTGGCTGCGAGGGTCTCCCAGGCTCCCAGGAGGCCCCCCAAACGGGAAAACGGAGGAAGGGCAGCGGTACGGGTGCCTCATCCTCCTCTGGGCAACACCCTTCCCACCCCTGACGCCCCTCGTGCCGGGCCCCTGGTGCGAGGTGGGGATATCTGTCCACAACCGCCGCCCGGAGGATCGACCTTCGGGGGCTTCTGCAGGCGGGGTGTGCGAAGACGTCTGGCCTCCGCAGGGCCAGAGCAGGTCCATATCCACCGCCTGCCAGGGTCGCCTGGCGGCCCGCCAGCGGCGGCGGCCCCTTATGGGCGCGGGATCGGCGACTGGGGGTCGATGCGTCCCCCCCCGACGCTATCCAATTCAATGATCCTCGTCGTGTGCTTTCGGGTGTCAGCTCGGATCTCTGCAGCGGCCGTTCGGGACGATGAGGACACCCTTGCCCGCGGCGAGGCGCAACTGCTGGAAGGCATCCCGAGGACGGAGAACCGCCGAGAAACAAGAAAAAGGTTCGACAATATTGTACTTGGTCGGGACTAACCCAGACCCCGATGTCTGGATGTTTCCAATGCGAGGTCACCCGAAGCCCCGACCCTTTCCCACGCATTCCGTGTCGTTTATTGACGGTCCTGGGCCCCGGCGGGAGCCCCCAGAGGCCGAACATAGCAACAGAACACCTTCCGTCGTGATCTTGTCACATCGCCAGGGGTCTGGGCCTGACGCTGCACCTTCGGGTCTCTGGCGGTCCAGCGGTGTCGGCGGCCGCTTGCTCTTTGGGTGGCTTACAGCGGTCACCACCATCACACCACGAAATCTCATTCACACTGCTGGACGCGCGAGTTATCCAGGATAACTGCTGCATGGGGTAACTCCGGTTTGGGTCTCCGCGGCGCGAATCTGCAGAGACCCCTGACTGTCCCCAGCCCTGATGATTCGGGAGGGTGGGACGCCCGAGTTGTCCAGGCCAATTGCGGTCCGCGGCAACTCCGGTGTGGGCCCCCGAGGCGCGAATCTGTAGCTATCCCTGATCGCCCCCAGCCCTGATGAAGCGGAACTCTGAGAGTACGTAGACAAGCGCGCTCCACTACCTTCACACAAAGCAGCTGCTCGCAGGTGGCCCCGCACCCGCCGCACGGAACCTTGCACGACCCTATGGCACCGAGGCAGACATGCGCTTCTCGGACGCCTGCGAGAAGGCACTCTGCGAAGAGTGAGACGTGCTCGGCGAGTGAAGGCCCCTGGCGGGCCGACGCCGCCAGCGGCCGCGTGGGCGACGATGACGACGATGACGACGATGTCGACCACGACGACGACGACGACGACGACGACGACGACGACGACGACGACGACGACGACGACGACGACGACGACGACGACGACGACGGCGGCGGCGGCGGCGGCCGTCGACGACACCGTGCGGCCGCGCGCGGCCGCGGCGGCCAGCCCGGCGGCCTGCTGCCTCGCCGCTGGGGCCGTGGGCGTGCGCGATGGCGCGGCGAGGCCGCCGCCCTCGGGGAGCAGGGCGTACCTCCGCCGCCACCGGCCCCAGTGGTCGACGCTCCAGTGACGGAGGGATCAATTTCATCCCTCCTCCTCCTCGTCCTCCTCCTCGTGTTCCTCCTCCCTCCTCCGCCTCCACCTCCTCCCTCCTCCTCCCTCCTCCTCCTCCTCCTGCTCCTCCGCCTCCCTCCTCCTCCACCTCCTCCCTCCTCCTCCTCCTCCTCCTCCTCCTCGCACGTGGTCGCAGGCGGACGCGTCCACGTTCGTAGGCGATCTAACGACCACCTCGCAGCTGGAAGAATTGACCTGGTCCTCTCTGGTGGGATCGGTCTCTGGCGCTCGGCCTCCTCCTCCTCCTCCTCCTCCTCACTTCCCTATCGCACCCCAAGGCCGGTCGAAAGAGCGGGCCTGGCGTTTCGCCTGAGACTTCCTCACCATGTACGTCACTGAAACGTAACAATTGACAACAGCTTTACGGATGGAGGGCGGGTCGTTTTCAAAATGTGGCTCTCGCCTTCGCGCCGCGCACGTGCGCATTTAACATTTGCCGGAACTTAACGAATTGAGGGCGGGTCGTTTTTTGAATGTGCCTCGCGCCTTAGCGCAACGCACGCTCGTTTCAAACATCTGCAAGAGTTTCACGTGGTGAGGGCGGGTCGTTTTCAAAATGTGGCTCTCGCCTTAGCGCCGCGCACATTCGTTTCGAATCTTCGCAAGAGTCTCACATATTGGAGAGAGCGTGATCCACCGCCGCTTTACTGTGGGAAATTGCCCCCCTTTTCCTCTGGAACCCGGGGTTCCCCCCCCCCTTCGAAAATCCCCCCCCCCCTGCTGGAACCCCCCCCCCCCTCGGCCCTCCCCCGGCAAAACCCCCTCCCCTAACCCCTCCCCCCCCCCCTCCGCCTCGAAAACCGGGGGGGGTCACTACCGGTTGGACGCCCCCCCCCGCCCTCTCGAAAACCGGAGGGGGGGTCACTAGCGGTTCGAACCCCTCCCCACCTACCCCACTCACCGCCAGCAAACGACTCCTGGTCCCTACCACCGTCTGCGCCACATCTCCCACTGTTGTTCTCAGCACCACTGTCCTCACCACCACTGTCCCCACTGGTTCCACCACCGTCTCTACTGTCCCCACCAGTGCTCCCACCACTGTCGCACTGTCCCCACTGTCCCCACCACTGTTCCCGCCAAGGTTCCACTCTCCCCACTTTCTCCAAGGCCCCAACCACTGCCCGACTATCCCCACTGTCCCCACTGTCCCACTGACTCCTCCGCTGTCCCACTGAGCTGTCCCACTGTTCCCACCACTGTCCCCACTGTCCCCACCACTGTCCCCACTGTACCTCTGTCCCATTGTCCCACCGCCGTCCTCGCCACCGCCTTCACCACTGTCCCCACCACCACTGTACCCTCCACTGTCCCACTGTTTCCACCTCCCCCTGTCCCCACACCACTGTCCCCACCACCACCATCCCCACCACTGTCCACTGTCCCCACTGTTCCCACCATTGTCCTCACCACTGTCCCCACCACTACAGTCCCCACCACTGTCCCACTGTCCGCACCCCCCTCGGTTTTCGAGGAGGGGGGGGGGGTTCGAACCGGTAGTGACCCCCCCCTGTTTTCGAGGCGGAGGGGGGGGGGGGTTCGAACCGGTAGTGACCCCCCCCTTTTCATGATGAACTGGGGGGTGGGGGGAGGGGTTCGAACCCGTAGTGACCCCCCCCCGGTTTTCCGGAGGGGGGGGGGGGAGAGGTTCGAACAGGTAGTGACCCCCCCCGATTTTCCGCCAGCAGCGGTAGAACACGCTCTTTCACATATTGAGAGCGGGTCGTTTTCAACATGTAACTCTCGCCTTGACGCCGCGCACATTCATTTTAAATGTTGGCAAGAATGTTCACGGATTGAAGGCGGGTCGTTTTCAACATGCGGCTCTCACCTCAGCGCCGCGCATATTCGTTGTAACAGTTGTTATATAGGGTTCGCGGTGTTGAAGTCCAAGGAATGACATTCTGGCACGATTGAGGATCGTCAAGACCCAACAGTCAGGATGATCCGCGGCGCTGGAGTAGCGAGAATAATTTTGTGGCACGCTTCAGGCTCTTCAAACGGTGGCCTTCCAACGCGGCAATTCCCCCAGTGGTAATGAGCCGTTGTGGGGGCCTGTGAAGAGGAGGCTCGGAGGGAGGGTTTATTCTAACATCGTTGATGATTCTTGGGTTTACACTGTTCCTCCTCCTCCTCTTTATGCCTCTCCTACCTGTAGTAAGTGGTGGTGGAAAATCGGCCCATCATCCAGAGGGATTCGGGCGTTCCAGGTCTACAAATCTCCATCGTGCGTGGATCACCGCGGGGGTTGATAAGGAGCACGTCGGTCGGAAGAAGCTCGACACATGAAGTAGGAAGGCGTTGGAAGTAGAATGGGCTTTCGCCCGCCCCCTGAAGAGGAGGGGAGATAGAGAAGCACTCGACAATTGAAGAAAAGGCGCCAAATATTGACTGGAATCTGGGAATCCCCACATACCTGTTTTCGACAACTGGCGTGTAAAGGAGGGTCAGAAGTGGATGCCAAGGTAACCTGGCTTAAAGGCGGGTGAGAACTAAGCCACTCTTGAAATTTGCAGCCTGCAAGCCTCCGATCAGCTAGCCCGCCTTGGCATCCACTGTCCAATCCCTTATCCTTAGATTCTAGAAAACCCAGAGTTCGCGAGGGGCTGGTTTCCTTTCGAAACAGCCGAAACCATCCCGAAACCATCCGAAAACCCTCCGGGAAGGAAGGGTTCCTGTTTGTTCGTCTTCGATTTTGCATCGATGGCCCTCGCCGCGAACAGAACGCACACGTCCGAGCGATGCCAAGTGGAAGCTGAAGACTGTGGGGCGTTTATGCCAACTGATCCAGGATGCTCCTCGATGGCCCTCACCGCGAACAGAACGCACACGTCCGAGCGATGCCACGTGGAAGCTGGAAGACTGTGGGGGGGGGGGTGTTGCCGCGGCCACGGGGGCTTTGTGCTATGCGTCGACGGGCTGCCGCCCGCCGCGTCGGTCCTCCTCGGCTCCCTGGGGGAGCGGCGATTCTCGGACCTTCCTTTGAGAGGCCTCCCAGATGGGGTCCGAGCAGGTGGGGTCGGAGGATCTCTCGCCGCATCGCCGATGCATCGCCGATGCATCGCCGATGCAGCGGTGACGTCGGCGACGCCTCGGCGACGTCGGTGTGGGGAGAATCGGGCTCCGCATCGAGCCGCATCGGCGCTGCATCGGCGATGCGGCGAGAGATCCTCCGACACTGTCCAC